TTTGCTCATCGAATTAACGTTGAACCAACGTCAGATGCGTCATTCTTTCAAAACTAACAGAAAATCAACTTGAAATCAACACGTTGTTTCAACATTATGAAAGCAAACCAATTTTCATTTAGCTTTGAAGAATGCCCCTTCTGACGTTGGTTCAACGTTAATTCGATGAGCAAAATCAACGTTGTTTCAATGTCATGAGAGACGTCGTTTCCACGTTGATTCAATGTCAGTTTGCTATCTGGGTATGAAGTGCATTAGCCTACTCCATATGCGCGTTCACAATACTGTGAAGTGGCGAGTCAGCATCATCAACTTCCTCTTTTCAATCAAGAATGACACAGAAAACATTAGTTTATTAATAAACAATTAAAATGTCTATATTTGACACATTCGTTACTTTTGCCGGTTTTTTGTGGCAAGCTTTCTGAGTCCGCTAACTAATCGAGTATCGTGACTCCCTATTTTGTACCAGGCAATTTATGGTTGTTCAATAAAGTTATTGGTAAAAAAGAAAATGAGCAACTGTACGTAATATTATTTCATAGCCTTTTATTTTACTGCCTACAGCGCGCAAGGTTTTATGCGGATGCTCTAAGTCTTCTTTCCGCATTTTTAGTGTATCTCTATGGCAGAATTACAGCGCCACATACTGGTCTGGGATGTCTACTACATCGTTTTCGGTCGGTTTCAGTGGTTTCGTGTGGACGCAGATATTTTTATTTTTATAAAAATATAACAATTTTTATTACAAGATATTTTTATAACAAGACGCCGTCGTGTTTACAGACTTTTTTCTTTCTTTTTTTTTAACGAGAAAAAAAAAAACATCGGATAGGGGAAGCTCGTGTGGACGTGGCCTAAATGTCTGCTTTTTACAGGCAGAGTTTTTCCTAAGTATATGTGTCCTGTATCTGGATCCCAAGATGCTACAAGAAGGGGGTTATTTTAGGGCTGAGGATTTGGGTTTCAAGAGACTTGTTCTGAATTTCGAGTACTTAAGATACATCCAAAATGTGTGAAAATCTTGATTAATTCAGCCCTGCATGTGTTTGTTTTCCCTCTCTCTCTCTCTCTCTCTCTCTTCATTGCTTGTTTTTGTTTCACGTTAGCTCTATTTCGTATTAAAAGGTTTTCCGTGGGTTGAGAATGGGTTAGATTGATGCAGCCGTCATGGGCAAGGTCACGCAGAGAGGAATTCCACATCAGCTCTTTCTATTATGTGCAGTCATGTGGGGAAGACCAGGCATTTTCCCAGCTTGCAAATGAGCTTTTCACTGGATGTGTGTTAGTGTCACCTTGAATGAGACGGTCGACTGTGAAATGTTTATTTTTTTATTAATTAATTAATGAATTAACTGTATTAAATGGCTGCGCAGAATCATTTATCCAGATGTGATGATGCTTCTGCTGGCATTCTGGTACTGTACTTGACAGGTTTGTTTTTATGGTTTGTTTTAGCATTGGTATTTGTCATCTTAAAGAGAAACACTCTGTATTAACTTATTAACTTTTATTAATAACATTTACAAGCATTACACATCATATAATTCTTCAGATCCTGGTGATTTACACTGCAATGAAACTTTGATGCATTTAAATGTACAATCATTTTTCTCTCTTTTAATCTGTTATGCATTGATGCATACATGTTAAAGGCTTAGTAAAGGAGCCATATGGGTCATTGGATAATCATATTAAACTCATATTAAATTCAAAACATAAATTGAAATTGCTCCCAGGATTATGTGTCCTGCCACAGGATCGCTGTCCACACTGTTAGAATAATTGCAGCTCTAGCCATCAACCTTTGACATCACTTCCTTGATACAAAAGTTCCCTTTGAGGTAAATTCCTTATATATTTTATTAATAGGCTATTCCTTAAATATTTTATCATCTTAGCCCGCAGTTGTTCCACCCACATTTTCAAAGTGATATGGGACTCTATGGGATATGCGCCAAATACATTACCATATTCATATTTCAAGTGAGAGATTTTTAAAATGACATGTTTCTATAGAAATGATGTATATATGTTGTTTATTGTTAGATCAAACGGTCTATGTATAATTAATGCATTACCAAATAGAAAAATAAAATATGTAAAAAAATACATTTTTAAATGCATAACAACATTTTTTTTTTTCTATTTGCTAATGTTAATGCATTAAAGGACAACTCCGGCGCAAAATGAACCTTTGGTCTAATTACACATTGTTACCTAGTCAACCGTTATCTAAAATTTTTGTTTTCATGATTGCCGAATGTAAATAGTTTTATCTCTAAAAACAGTTTAGCCTATTACGCTAGTATATAGGGCATAGAGTAATGACAAATAAAAATCGCTTGTTATTACCACTAACAAGGCTCAAAATAGCCCCACAGCAACACGACAGCATAAAAAGAGTCCCTACATTCAAACCGAAGCATTGAGAACTTTGTCAGTGTCCATACAGTTTAATAAGCAGATGTTTTATACACACAGTAAATTTCGCGAATTCAGGAAGAAGCCATCTTGGAAAAATAGTCTCTACCAGTCGATCTACGAACGCCGATCCAAGTGCGCTGGAGAGATGTGAATACATAGTTCCCACATGACGTCACAACATACGGGCATTTGCCGACCCGGCGCCATTGCTGAGGGCAAAACACAAGAAGAAGCAATACGAGTTGAACGAAGTGAAATGAGTTTCGTGCTATAAAGTGAAAATGGTCATCTCCTGTTGAGTCAATGGATGATAAAATCGTGCCGGAGGTTCAGTTAAATCGGGATTTTACACTATACCCGTCATTAGACTCCATATGGATGTGAGAAGACTAAGCTTTTGTCCGAACAACGACGGAGATTATGGCTGGCGAGCATAAACAGGAAAGAAACTCACTCAAAACACGCACGAATTTGTTTGACAAAAGCATAATGTTGTGTTTTATTGCGAGTGTAAATAAATATAAGTTAACACGTTGCAGTTTGAATAATGTCCTGTATGAACAAAATGACGAGGTATTAAAAACATACAAAACAACATTGCTTCCACTGTTTGATCTCACATTCCAGCATTGCAATCTCAGATTATGTCCCTAAAGATCCCGCGTATAATGTAGTTCCTCATTTATTACATTAATTAAATTGCACGCGAGTTATTTATTTTAATATTCATGCACCGAACCATGACGCCCGCAAGTACATGCATATTACAGAAATCACCGGTGACTGGGGAACATAGGAATTAAGTTGTGCAGGCTATGGCTTTTTAATAGACAGATTAGCATCATGCTACTTCGCTATGATGACTTAAGTTACTTTTCCATTGATTGCACTTGAGCAAACGTCACCAAACCAACCCCACGTCAATCTGATCGTACACCTCCAGTGATTTCCAGGCTTGGAATTTGCTTACATGTGTAAAAACTCCTCACCAATACCAGATAATTGTACACATGAAAATACTGTATCTGAGGCAAAGTTGCATAATCGGTGCTCAGTGCTTCTTTTGTTGCATAAGGATACACACCATTTATGAATGAAATTTTCGCATTGTACCTCTCTATGTCTTGTTTTAATAGTCTCTTTATAATCTATTACACATTGTCTTTTCATGATTTGCATAACAATATAAACAGACATAAATATTTGTTTGTAAAACGACATTCTCTGATAAAACGTTGTAAACGCCTATGGTAAACACAGCGGTTTTGCCCTCAAAGATGGCGTCTCCGGGGAGGTCACGTGACAATTTTTTTGCCTGTGGGAACTATGTATAAGGTGATAAGGTGAGCGCGAACAGTAGGCTACGTGTACATATTGAAGACAAGTAAACGGTTTGTGTTTGTGTTTCTTCTGGAAACAACGGATCATATGAGATTCTGCACAGTTCAGCTCACTTGGATCGGCGTTCGTAGATCGACTGGTAGAGACTATTTTTCAAAGATGGCGTCTTCCTGTATTCGCGAAGTTGACTGTGTGTATAAAATATCTTCTTATTAAACTGTGTGGACACTGACAAAGTTCTCAAAGTTCAAGGCTATTTTGAGCCTTGTTAGTGGTAATAACAAGCGATTTTTATTTGTCATTACTCTATGCCCTATATACTAGCATTGAACTAGCGTTATAGGCTAAACTGTTTTTAGAGATAAAACTATTTACATTCGGCAATCATGAAAACAAATCTCTGATAACGGTTGACTAGGTAGCAATGTGTAATTAGACCAAAGGTTCATTTTGCGCCGGAGTTGTCCTTTAAGTATAAATAGACTAGACTAGTTAGTTTGATCTAAAAATAAACAACATATTTACATCATTTACAGCTCTGTTAGTGTAAATTTGTAAATTCATATTCATTCATAGACTAATGCTTATTTCTAAACTTGAAAGGTTCATAAATAGTAGGTCTACATGTAGAAAGATTATTAAAATGTTCATGATAACTAATACAATACCTAATATTTTAAATGAAACCTATTATCAAATGTTCCATATCAACTTTTTTTATGGCCCATATAATGGAAATTATTATTGTGTTACCAAACTAGCATCTTCTGTCGCTATTGCAAACCAATACGCCGCATGTCCCATGTGATATTGAAATGTAGTTCGGTGAATGTAGTTCATTAGATGACCTTGTGAGTCAATAAAGACTGACTCTTCTTCCAGGAGTCATTTAATTACGTAAATGTAATGCACTGGTTATCCTTACTGTGATCACAATACCTTTGCATTTGACAGCGGTTTTACTGGTGTACTGCATTACAGGCCTTCAGATTCAGATTACACTGATTCTAGACACATGGGACAAAAGTATAATATTATTAATAATATTTGGGTTAATATGTGTCCGTTGGTATTCATTCACACTTCAATACAACCACCTGCCACACAAATTGTGTGTTTTTATTAATTGCGCAATGTGTCAATGCCGTATGAATTTTTCAACGTAGAATTTTTGATTTTTTTCAATCCCATGTCTCAGTTGTGTATTTTTCTTTTCTGTTTCTCTGTCACAGGTATGCACACCAGCATCAGTGAGATTTTGAAGGAGAAAACGCTAAAGTCGTCCCGCCGCAGTTTGCCATGTCTGGCTCAGAGTCAGACGCATCCTGAGAACCTCAATCACTTCCTGTCTGTGCCTCTGAGTCCTGACCGCAAAACATACAGTCACAGCGTCAGTGCCTCCTGCACACACATCATACCTCCTTCCACAGGTGAGCGCTAGCAGAGCTTTTCTTGGTCTTTTTAGTTAGATCATGGTTAGCAAGCTAACCTATTAGCATGATAGCATATCCTAACTAATATAATACACATAACAAACCCTTCAGTGTTTCAAACTCACAATCACAATCTCAATTAATATCTATTACCTTTTGGTGAATTGGTCATTTGTATGAAATTAAAGGGTTAGTTCACCCAAAAATGAAAATTAAGTCATTAATTACTCACCCCCATGCTGTTCCAACCCCGTAAGACCTTCGTTCGTCTTCGGAACACAAATAAAGATATTTTTGATTGAATCTGAGAGCTGGATCAGTCTTACATAGACTGCCTAAGGGACTGGCTCTTGACGGCCAATAAAGTCATTAAAGAAAAGGTTTAAATATTCCATGTGCCTACAGCGGCTCAATTATAAGTTTATCAAGCGACGAGAAAAAAAACATAAATAATGACTTAATTCGACTATTCTATTACTTCCTTATGGGCGCATGCGCGAGAACTGAGACGAGGACGTTCACATTCGTCTACTTCTTGTTACCGGCTGCTCACCGCTTAGGAGTTTTACCGCCACCTACCGTATAAAATGATGATCCATATATAAGGCGCTCCGGATTATAAGGAACACTGTCGTTTTTTTAAAAGATTAAAGGCTTTTAAGTGCACCTTATAGTGCGGAAAATACGCTAATTGAAAAGCGTATGTACAGCGCGCATCTTCCTCTGCTTGTAAACAGAAAGTTTTGCGCTTCCAGCTATATCAGCACATCATCTTATACGGTAGGGGGCGGTAAAACTCCTAAGCGGTGAGCAGCCGGTAACAAGAAGTAGACGAATGAGAACGTCCTCGTCTCAGTTCTCGCGCATGCGCCCATAAGGAAGTAATATACAATAGTGGAATAAAGTCGTTATTTATGTTTTTTTTCGCACAAAAAGTATTCTCGTCGCTTGATAAACTTATAATTGAGCCGCTGTAGGCACATGGAATATTTAAACCTTTTCTTTAATGACTTTATGGGCCGTCAAGAGCCAGTCCCTTAGGCAGTCTATTTAGGACAAATCCAGCTCTCAGATTCAATCAAAAATATCTTTATTTGTGTTCCGAAGATGAACGAAGGTCTTACGGGGTTGGAACAGCATGGGGGTGAGTAATTAATGACTTAATTTTCATTTTTGGGTGAACTAACCCTTTAAAATCTCAATAAGAAATCTCATTCATAGGTTTTCGTATGATGGTTATTTTTAGGGGCAGAGTTGGTTGGACCTTTATAGGCTTACTTTATCTCTTAAAGGACATGTTTGGTATTTCACACTTAAAGCCCTATTTTAAGATTGTTTAACTGGTGAAACTCACCGAGTGCTCTGGGATGTTCACTGATATGCTCAATCAAAATATGCTCAGTTGGACAAAAACTACGATAAAACCTGTTGGAAAGCATCTTCTGCAGCGATTTTTGTGTGAGCATATTTTATGTGTTTCATGTCTTTGTAAACTAAAGTTTAAAGGAGAACTCCGGCGAACAATGAACCTTTGGTCTAATAAAACACCGGTACTTAGTCAACCGTTCTCCGAGATTTGTTTTCATGATAATCGAATGTAAAGAGTTTTATCTCTAAAAACTGTTTAGCGTATAATGCTAGTAATGGGGGCATTGACTAAGTAAAGAGAAATCGCTAGTTTATACCACTAACAAGGCTCAAAATAGCCCCACACTAACACAGTAACATAATGAGGGTCCCTACATGCAAAACGAAGCATTGAGAAGAACTGTGTAAGTGTACAGACCGTTTAATAAGAAGATACTTTATGAAGACAGTTCACTTCGCGTATATAGACAGACAGGAGCCATCTTAAAAAATAGTCTCGATAAGTCGATCCCCGAATGCCGTTCATAGAATTCAGATCACTCAGCACGTCGTTCGTGGTTCGACTTATCGAGACTATTTTTTAAGATGGCTCCTGTCTGTATACGCGAAGTGAACTGTCTTCATAAAGTATCTTCTTATTAAACGGTCTGTACACTTACAAAGTTCTCAATGCTTCGTTTTGCATGTAGGGAGCCTCATTGTGTTACTGTGTGAGTGTCTATTTTGAGTCTTGTTAGTGGTATAAACTAGCGATTTCTTTTTACTTAGTCAATGCCCCCATTACTAGCATTATACGCTAAACAGTTTTTAGAGATTAAACTCGTTTTTAGAGATAGAACTCCGGTTCATTGTTCGCCGGAGTCCTCCTTTAATGCGTTTTAGGGAGGATTGTTCCAGTGCACCTGTGCAACCATTGTGTGCATACACGAAACCGAAAATTCTCGGTACTGTAGCATGTGTCCTAATTTCAATCTTAACCGTTCTATTTCATCAGAAACGATCTTAAAACAGGACTTTAAGTGTAAAATACCAAACTTGTCCTTTAAAAGTTTTCGTATGATTCACATTCTTATATCATTTATCCAAGTAGATGCACTCATGGTGACTCAAGTCCTCCTGGGAAGTTCGTATTTACAAAGTGGGGAGTCGTAATTGTGCCATCATGAACTTGCGAGATGGCAGAAAATTTAACAAGATTTTTTTTCCCCTTGACATTTACCTCGGTAATTTTACCGTACTATGGTAACGTACAGTAGGGTATGCAAGTTTTTGATAGTTTCATTGTAAATGAAATAAAACACAATTTCATTCAATTGAACAAATTTGCCATTAAAGGAGTAGTTCACTTTCTTTTGCTGATAATTTACTCACCCCCATGTCATCCAAGATGTCCATGTCTTTCTTTCTTCAGTCGAAAAGAAATTAAGGTTTTTCATGAAAACATTTCAGGATTTTCTTCATTGAATTCAATGGGAACCAAACGGTTCAAGGTCCAAAAGACAGTTTCAGTGCAAACTGTTCAAAGGGCTTTAAACGATTCCAGACAATGAACAAGGGTCTTATCAAGCGAAACGATCGCTCATTTAATAAATAAATAACAAAGTTTACGTTTTATAAGCTCAAATGCTCACCTTGCTCTGTTCTGTGATGCAAGTTAGTGACTCTCCTGTTTGAACTCGTTCATCAAAATGAACAAATCTTTTTTGTGTCATTTGGTTCATTCAACGAATGAAACGAATGGGAAAAGATTAGTTGATTTTGATGAACTTTTTTTTGATGAATTGGAACTTCGACACTTCGTCTTGGTGTTAATGCTATGGGGAAGCAATACACACTATGCCATGCTGAAGGGGTGCCTGCCTCACCAAGCTGTGAATATTCACAGACGACATAGCCCTCAATGATTCTACAGCGCTTAGTCAGAGTCAAAAGTGCGTCAATCCCAGGGCGCATCCTGTGTGACCTGCAAAAGTTTAATAGTGGCACTCCTAAGCCTGGATTTTCAGGCGTTAGTGAAAACCCCAAGCTTCTCTGCTCCATAGCAAGGGAAGACTCGGCAGTTACACCTTCCTCCCTCCCTTGCGGGACAGGCCTCGGCCAGAAGCCCAAGAGGAGGGCTATAATGGGGGGATACACAACACCGACTCAGGCGCCTCACTAGCATCTCGGCTGTATTTCTGAGAAGGTTCTAGGGAGGTTACCAAACGGAGCATGCAAATTATAAAAACCTCCGTGAAACAGACGTAGTATAATTGTGCGTTCACACCAGGCGTGAATAGTTTACGCGTGTGACGCGCGTCAGAATCGAAATCCGTTGGCGGCCATTGTTTTTGCCGATGTCGATCGAGCATTCATCAAGAGAGTCACCGCTCTGTATTTACTCTGTAGAGCAGAACAGCGGCGTGGGGATCATCGTCGCTATATATTTGTGTCCACCGGACCCTTCTGAGGTGAACCATTTGGCGAGTTTCACCATTTGCTCGCTCCAGGAGCTGCGCTGGATGACGGCCGCTGTCAGCGGTACTTCCGCCTGTCCCGCGCCCAGTTTGATGACCTGTTGTCCCGCATCGGAGCGAGGATCACCCTTGCCCTCATCCATCTAATCTAGCTGTCATTTATTTTTGTTTTGATGATAAATCGAGTCAGCCTTCAAAAGTTATTAACCTGTCCTGTGATTATTTTCTCTCTCACGTCCAGACACGAACTTATGCACATGTATGTTGATTGTCTTTACATCATAATACTATTTCATATAATCTAGATATGGAATGAATAACATTCAATACAAAATGAACATGTCTCGTATATAGAAATAATGTTTTAAGTGATAATAAAACATTTGCTTTGTTGTGCATAATCCCACCATGCATTTAGTCATATTAACAAAATAATTTATTGAAGCATCCAGACACTTCACCACATGAGCAAGCAGCTCCTGATTGGTTAACACGGCGCCAATTCACGGCAAAGTTCAGATTTTTCAACTCGGGCGGCAGACGCGAATTCGCGTCAAACGCGTGAATGCACAAATGGCACTAACTAAATAATTCGCGCTTAACGCACCACAAGCTCAATTCGTGCAATTAATCTCGCGAACGAGGAATTTTTACGCGCGTAACGCGTCTTTGCATTGACTTAACGTTGAAATCATTCGCGCTTGACGCGCTATTCGCGTCCGGTGTGAACGCACCATAAGAGTGAACGCCTACTTAATGGACATAGGATATAATGCAGTTTGTCCAGTTTGCCCACCCCAATGAATCCAATGGGGGAGCTGAGGCCCTACTTAACCCCACATTCAACCGAGACATTCAATTAGTATTACAAACTAATTAATTAATCAGTTTCTTGTTAGTTGATTGTAGTTATTATAATGTTAAGACTGTGTTACTCATTTATTACTTTGTAGTATTCTAAAGTGTTACCCCTATTTCGCTTAAGAGGGTGATATTTTGCATTTTCCTCACAGCTAAGGCTAGTCACTAGTGAAAGGCCATGTGGTGCCATCAGGACTTGGATAATGCAGGTCATGTACTTCCAGAAGTGTACTACGCTTGTCAGGCAGATTGGAAATGGTTTTCTTTAGGTGTTATAGACCTAACTGAATTTGAAAGGATGGTTTTTGTTTGACAAAGGACCTTGAATTTAAGCAACAAGCATTAAAAAAAAAAAACTGCCAACACAAAGTTATTGATTTCATCCCCAGTATTTGTCCACTTTATCTTCTCTTCTCTGAGATTGCTGCTGCAGTCATTAACCCGCATTAGCTCCACAGGTGTGTAGACGAGATGTGAAGGTGCTGGGATCATTTCCATGTGCTGACACTGCCACAATCCTCTAAAGAAGCGCATTGCATTCTCCCTTGAGTTTACTACCACCCACTAATGGCCATCATTTGGACACAACGCTGCTGCCAGAAGATCTTTTAGCAGAAACACATGACTTGATGAGCTCAACACAACTGAATGAATAATGGATAATGAGACGGTTGTTCTAAGCCAGCTGATTTGAGTTATTCTGTGGCTTTGGTCCACATGCTCACACAGAGAATCTTCAGGTCTGACTTTTGTAATGACTGTACGACGGCAGAACTGGAACATTACCTAGGGGACTACAGACAATGATGTATTATGCTCACTAAGGGTTACTTCATTCCTGAGATGGCAAAGCTGAATTTTCAGCATCATTACTGCAGTCTTCAAAGTCATATGACCTTTCAGAAATTCTGATATGTTTAGCTTAGCTGCTAAATATTTTTGTGGAAACCACAACGAGAGAGAGAGAGGCAATAAAAATGATTCATTTTAATAGAAAAGTTGCATATAGCACCTTTAAGAATGTTCTGGCACCAGATATATGCTACTTTCTTGCTCAGCCAACACATTTTTTTAGCTAATTTCCTTGTAGAACAGTCTTTCTCAACCAGGATACTGCAAGGAAGCCCTAATAAGTCTTATAATTATTTACATTAAGTCTGTAAATAAATTGTTGAGCAAGTACATAACCGAGCTCGATTCAAAGCGGTAAGCTTGTAATAATGTTTTTAATTCCAATGGTACTGGTGGATTTCCACAGGAGATTCAAGCATGTCTTTGCGTCATTACGTCAGATCTGTACACATAAAGAAGGAGTCTCGGCTACAATATATTGTGTGTGAGGATGTTGGAGATTTATAGCCTTAACTCACAGCACTTGATATAAACTTATCAATTTGATGGCGGATCCAGAAAGGTTTAAACGACAATCACCGGTGACAACTGGATACTCACCCGTTGTAAAATGCAAAAGAGTGGCTGCAAACAACAAGAGACTGCAACCGGCCCTTGTGAAAACAAGGATAAATATTGGAAGGGCATTAAATGTGGTGACCAATGCTAATAGTGTTAACATTAACAATTTGTGGAAAAAAAAATATAATTTGCATGGTTTGATGTGATATTATAAGCGATCGTTAGATTTAGAGAAGCTAGATTTAGAACGTTAGCTTTTTTGCGCTTAGTTGGTCAGAACAAAAGTGGATGTTATTTCTAACGAAATTCTAATGTTGGTCATACTTCCAAAAGTAGAATCTGTGATTGCAGTATCCACACCGGCGCGGTGACTGACAGCCACACACTCTCCTCAAAACATTGGATTCATACGCGCTGTGCCGTGCCGAGGTACAACCCAGGTAAAGTTGATAATTCCGCCAATAACTGCAATTGCAGATTTCGAACAGAGATGGCGACAAAGAGGAAAAACTACAGACTGCACCTTTAACATGATATTAATTAAAAGGCTAAAAATCACTAAAAAATTACATAAACAAGTACAAAACGATAAATAAAACATTTCTAAATGTTGTTTTTTTATGGACCAGATGCACATCTGTATTTATCACAAGTTATTATCATAGAACCCAATATTTCACTCTTGAACAGACACAGGTCAGGATGCCTATATGGAAGAGAGGGAGGCGGGGGATTTTGCACCTAAAACAGATGAAACGCACCATGTCCAGCAGAAGCCGGTGTCCAGAGGAAAGCTAGAGGCCCGCACAGAATCCATACAGGTACAACATCTCCCTTCATGGTGGCAACTGTTAAGATGCTACCAACCTATTCCTCCAAATTCATGCTTGGTAATGAATTCAATCTTGAGTAGAGATTTTTTTCTGAAAATGTAAAAAGCATGTCCTTATTTAAAAAATGAATATAGACGTCAATTTGTAAGACAACAGCAAAAAAAACTGAATTCCTCTTGAAATTCGAGTGAGGTTAATTTTTTATTTTTTTATCTATGGTTATAAAAATGTGTGTGGTAACAAGCCTTTCCATTTTTTTTGTTGTTTTTTGCAAAATAAATGACCGTTCTTCCTCAAAAGTGATTTTTGACATTTCTGAGGGTTTAAGGATTAAATCTGAACAGTTCACCAACACCAGATGGGGTGGTGGTGGTTGCGCAGTGGATAAGACACATGTCTTTGGTGTGAGAGACCCAGGTTTGAATCCACTGTGAGACACCAATGTGTCCCTGAGCAAGACACTTACATATATACAGTAGCAATTGTAAGTCGCTTTGGATAAAAGCATCAGCTAAATGAATAAAAGTGTAAAAACTATGTAAAAAGTAAGTTCTATTGCTTCATATTTTCTAATAAAATCTAATGAAATAAAGACATGTTCTGATTGTTTTCAGGGGAACAATTTACAAAACCCCTCAGGGTTGATGTTTAGAGATGGGAAGAAGCGTATCGACTACATCTTGGTGTATAAGAAATCCAGCCTTCAGGTGGAGAAGAGGTGCACGTTTGAGAGGAACCTGCGAGCGGAAGGTCTAATGCTGGAAAAGGAGGTATAGAACAATATTTTTAACTAGATGACTGTTGTATTTTAACATCATTTGTTTGGATTGACTCTTATGGCGCTTTTCCACTACACAGTACCAACTCGACTCAACTCGGCTCGCCTCGCCTTTGTTTGGTTCTCCATTGTTTAAAAGTTGTACCTGTACCTGCTCTCGGGTACTTTTTTTGTACCACCTCCGGCGAGCTTCTGAGCGAGCTAAGGCGATACTAAAATGTGACGTGAAAACAATGCCGACTGCTGATTGGTCAGAGAGAACCATCATCATTCACTGTGTCTTCATTACACCCGCCAGATGGAGTATCCAGAATAACCCCGCCATGTTTAAATAGTTTAGCCAGAGATGGTTACTAAACCAACTACTATTATTATGACAACTGAAGAATACGCCATGGTCAAACGAGGAGGTGCAGACTTTCCTTTGTTTGGTGGCCGAAGAGAGGATCCAGCGAGAGCTTGATAGGGCAACGAGGAACGAAAGGCTTTGATGACTGGGTACTGTTTGTGGTGGTACTGTCTGCAATAGAAAACGGAACGAAAAGCGAGCCGAGTCCAGCCGAGCTGGTACTGGTAATGGAAAAGCTCCATTATAGTGCTTAAAGGGTTAGTTCACCCAAAAATGAAAATTAAGTCATTATGTTTAAATATCCCAAGTGACTACCGTGGCTCAACTATATGTTTATCAAGCGACGCGAATACTTTTTGTGCGAAAAAACAAACAAAAATAACGAGTTTATTCGACTATTTCTTTTCTTCCTTGTAGGCCAGAACGAGACTTCCTTATAGATTTCCACGACGCATGCGCGAGATTTGCGATCTGAAGTAGTGTAAGCTGGCGTAAGCAGATCGCAAATCTCGCGCATGCGTCGTGGAAATCTAAGGAAGTCTCGTTCTGGCCTACAAGGAAGAAAAGAAATAGTCGAATAAACTCGTTATTTTTGTTTGTTTTTTCGCACAAAAAGTATTCGCGTCGCTTGATAAACATATAGTTGAGCCACGGTAGTCACTTGGGATATTTAAACATTTTCTTTAATGACTTTCTGGGCCGTCAAGAGGCAGTCCCTTAGGAGCCAATGTGGTAGTTATACAGCTCTCAAATTTAATCAAAAATATCTTCATTTGTGTTCCGAAGACGAATGAAGGTCTTACGGGGTTGGTACAGCATGGGGGTGAGTAATTAATGACTTAATTTTCATTTTTGGGTGAACTAACCCTTTAAGGAAAGAACACAGATCCATCAGTTCTAGCAGAAAAACTCCGGAGGCAAGTGAACGTATGCATACGATTTATTTAACAGTTTGTATGCAACATGAAATGTTAAATTTCTTTGGCGTAGTCCATAACCCAAATCCGGAGGGTAGAAGACACTTGCAGTTCCTGCCTGAAGATGAAGGCAGCGGCAGATGGATGGACAGAGACCAACCCGGTGGTGCTAGGGAGGATGGGGGTGAACAGCGGCTTCAGTTTCTGCAAACGTAGTAATGGGTGTTAAAAGGGCTTAATACTCCATATGTTGAGTGGTGATTGGCTAGATCTGTGGTTAATGAATGACATGATGTAGAGTCTTCCCGGTAGAACTTGCACTAGAGCTCCCATTTCTTTTGAACAGTTTTGAATTCCAATGGAAAATTGAGACACTAGCTCTGCTCCAAATTCTTCAAAGTCTTACTGTCTGCAGGATGCTGACTTTAAATGCTTCCTGTCTGAAAAGGAACCTCAGAAGTAAAACTCTTCATAGACAGCCACTCTGTCTCTCCTTATATGATGTGAAGACAGGAAACTTGACTCATAGTTGATTCTAATAGAGTCTGATGTTAGCATGTTACTATGGTAACTATGCAATATTCTAAGAAACCTAATAATACATATTGCTAAGTACATTTTGGAATACCCTTCATGTAGCAATCTTGCATTACAGTTACACCTCACTAAGTTTTAGAACCAAACTAATGGCTATCAGTCAAATAGTCTAAAAGTCTAGGTTAGGGGCGGAGCCTAACCCTGACAACTGCAAATGTAAAAGAGAGAATTCAGTACTAATATACTCCAATGTTCAAACAGTGATTGGCCAGAACACATTTTCATGAATGAATGATGTGGCATTAGATTCATCCTTATATGGTAGAATCTATAATTTCTACCAGAAAGACTCAGTTGAGGACAGTTGAAAATTTACATGGGAATTATTCCATGAAGTATTAACAGATTCTTTTCCGGTTCAAGCGTTCCGCACACGCCCTCAAAAGTGAAGCCAAAACGTCTCGATCGCCCCCTGTGACCGGACCTAGTATAGCTCATAACCCCCTCCTCCCCATGTTATTCAATGGGACGCGAGACCATTGCTCGCTCTACCCCCATTGGCAAGACAGGAGCATTTATAGAGGTTGCAGTAGAGAGCTCGCAAGCGGGGCATCCTCACATACCGCTGCTCACACAGCCCCTCCACATGCGAATGATTAGACTACATGAGAGACAATAGAGGGGCTGAATACAGATTCCTTCTTCTTTTTCTTGATACTATCTGGGAGGAAAAAAGACTCACATACGTATATGTGGGGCAGTGGAGCCATGGAGCGGTTTTATGAACCAACATGAGAGCAACAGATCCCCAGGAGGATCAATCCCACCCTGCCGCCTCGGCAGCAGCAGGACTGAACCACGAGGTGCCGAAGCTCGAATCTCATCCCTTAAGAGAGAGTCTAGCAAGGGTGGAGATTCCCACAGCGAACGTATCACAATGAATGCATTCAACTCCCTCAAGATCCGAATGCACTCTGTGCAAACCCTTGATTCTCATCACTCTGAAGATTTGATAACGTGCAATCCAGACACCCTTTTCAGGCACTCAGGCCCTTTTGCAAAGTTTTGCAATTTTGTGTGTCTTGTGTGGTTTCTTTGGTAACCAGTGTTCTATATTGTAAGCTGAACACCTGAACTTATCTAACCTACTTTTCTTCTCCCAGATCTGTCATTCTATTTTTATACTGAGCATAACTCTGGCAGTATTTCTTTACCTCTACATCTCCTCCGTAGGTGTGCTTGTAATGTCGGAACATAACTTTTTCCAAACTTGCTAACAATACTAGCTTTTCCCAGTTCTGCCACTTTTCACATATGGAGTCTAAATAAGTTTTGACCAGTGTTGGTCAAGTTACTTGGAAATAGTAATTAGTTACTGATTACTGATTACTTCTCCAAGAAAGTAATCCAATTACTTTACTGATTACTTATTTTCAAAAGTAATTAGTTACTTTACTAGTTACTTTACTAAGTTACTTTTCAAAAACATAATGCACGACCTGAATACGCTAAAGCATAGACCTTTCAGCCTAATTCTATTCTTTCTGCATATTCCATCATCTAATATGTAATCAAATTAAACATTCTCTTTTTTTAAACTTGTTTTATTTGTTTCAATATTTTAACTTAATGCACATTGCATCAAGCAAAAATTAAAATAAATGCAACATTCTCAGACTAGAAGAAAACTGTTGTTTAGATATTTTCTGCACATTCCACCATTTTAATGAAATAAAGACAGCCCGTCTTCTGTTAATATACATTTCTACATATTCCAGCATATAAAATAAATATATTTTGTAAAATCCTTCATTTGAATAGATGTAAAAATAAAATAAAATCATGAAAGTCGCTCCTGACTATATTACAGTTGATTAACACTGACATCTTTTAACAGTAAATTGCAGAGAGGAGTAAAAATAGTTGATCAAAACAGAAAATGCTGTTGCATGCCGTATTTTGGCTTCAAGTTTTTTTTTGTTTTTTTTTTTTTCGGAGTTAAACAGTCAGCATGTAGCCGCAGCGGTCATGTCAGACGGGGGAGTTTCACATTAGTGTACCGGCTTGCTGCTTTACGTGTGAGACTGTTTCGTGACATGCTTGCTCAGATTTGAGGTAGAATTTTGACATTCTCCAACGGGGGTCCTGTTTCCAGATCAGGATGCTCTCTGCATAGTACGCAAGTCTGTCTCTTGCTCTCCTTGTCTTGCGCGCGATACGAAGTTTGGACTTTGGAACACAGTCTCGCATGCGCGCTCGCTCTAGATTCCGGGAGATTTTAACTAATTTGCGGGATAACTAGTCAATCACAAATGTGGCTCAACGGTTAGATTTATAGATAAACTCATCTTTCAGGCATTTGACCGACGGGATTGACACTTCAGCGCGAGAAATCGGGGGTGTGTCGTGTGAGCGTGTGTGAGAGTTGGCAGCTCGACATCATTTTTATTCCCGCACGACTCATGTCACGAGACGGTCTGACTAAACAAAATCACGGTCAACTAACGCAGTAACGCAGGCTGTTTACGGGGAAGTAACGGTAATCTAATTACTGTTTTTTCAATTGTAATCCCTTACTTTACTCGTTACTAGAAAAAAGTAATTGGATTACAGTAACGCGTTACTTCTAACGCGTTACTGCCCATCAGTGGTTTTGACACACACAATTTAACAAAGCTGTTTTCAACAAGGTAATAGGAAATGAGGGGCTTAACCTTCAGGAAATGTTGACCCTGTAGGAAAAAGTAATTATTATTTTCTTTTTTATTATTTTTATTTGTTCTGATTAAAAGGAGGCTCAAACCCATGTTAACACTGTAGTTACACTTATAGTTATGCTATGTGATTTTTTGCCCTCTAGGGGAATTATCCGTTCAATAATCTGTTTGAGATTTAGCGTACTTCTTGGCATAACCTTGAAAAACATGAGATCCAAATGTCTTGACAACCTGGTACCCAGTTGGTGCTTGTAATGAACGCACGATGATGGGAAAATATATAAATATTCCGGGTCTCTGGATCCGCCTCAACCCTCCACCCCTTCTGCTCCACTGGGCTTCTCCTTCCCTCTGGCTTCCCAGTTGTACTCACTCCCTCCATCTTTGCCTGGTCTGCCGAGCCCCCATCTCCGCCTCTGTCCCGCAAGCCACCAGCTCCACCTTGGGCCTCTACCCGTCTCCGTCAGTCGGTCTCCGGGTTCAGCCCGGGCATTCAGCCAAAGCCCCACCCTGGCTCCTCACACTGTTGGCTCCACAGTGGTGTTTCTCTCCATGACTCCTCCTCCTTCCTGTCTATCACCAGCTCCACGCCCTCCTCCAAAGCCCATTCCCTCCTTCCACACTTGAACTATCAATTACAGCGAGTTGATGTGCCTTCCGGGAGTGAGGAGTACGCTTACGGTTATAGATTCTTATTCTGATATTTCCTTTCTTTTTTGGTTTAGTTCCTGGTTTCCTGCTCTGTTTAGTTTCTGTGAATAATTATCATCAGCTGTATCTTATTTAGTTTATGATTATCCCGTACATATATACTCTCTGTTCAGTTCAATTCTTTTGTCGGTTATTGTGGTTGCGTTTCAAATGTATTCCTGATTAAAGGTTATTCTAGTTCATTCTCTTCGTCGTGCGATTGTTTCATGCACAGAGTAATCAACAGATCTAAGAACAGAATGAGAATGACTAATGAGTAAATATGGAAACTAATAATGACTAGAAACACAAGCAAAATGGTAACAGCAAAATACCCTAAAAAAAACCCTAGTTCCCTGAAGCTGCGTTGAGACTCTGTGAGAATGCCCCTGCATGATTGCATCTAGTGCTAGCTTCTGATAGGCTGAAGCAAGTCGATCACAGGCACGCATTGAGTATGGAAGGGCAACGCAGTGTCTCGTTCCCTCTTCAGGGAACTAGTGTTACAAATGTTAAAAATAAGATATTCCCTTATATATTCAAGAGAACTCAAGCTGCGTCGAGACGCTGTGGGAACACCATACCCATGATGCCATAATAGCAAATTGCTGTTCTATGTGAAGTCATTGCGCACACTTAGAAGCAAGCACCCTAGACACTGGAGTGAAGCCTAGATCCAAGTCAAAAAATGTAACAAATATATGTGGTGAGGACCAGCCTGCCGATCACATCCTGGCCGATGACGTCACCTGCCTATGAGGTCTCGTCTCTCCATTGGACTGATTATACACGTGCTTCATGATGCAAGCACACAGGGCCATTCCCACAGCGTCTTACCTTGAAAGGGAACTAAATATAACCCTGACACTGGTAACTTACAACCCTGTTACTTTTTTAATTATTACTATTTATACTGAATTTCATACATTTTACAGTATTTACATTTTACAATTCAAATGTTTACTTAATTACACTGAGTTTTGAAACTTATTCAGATGCAAAAATTTTATTATCTCATGTACAATTAATAGAAAATAAAACGATCAGCATTTTCTGAAGGTTAAATGCCTCTTTTACAAGAAAAAAAAAAAACTTGAAGACTTTCAGACAATATCTGGTACCCTCTTTTTGAACAGAGTCTGCTACTAACCAGCTAACTAACTAACCGATACATCTTCATTATATGACTGTTTATAACATGCTGATAATGATTTGTCTTTCACTTTGACAGCCCTCATTAACCAACAGTGATATCCTGTTTGTGAAGATCCATGCCCCATGGGACACGCTGTGTAAATATGCAGAACAAATGAACATTCGAATGCCCTTCAGGTAGAGCTCATTGTCATTGTACTTTACTAAACTTCATACTATAAGTAAATTCAATGTGATTATATCATATATGTATTTTACAGGAAAAAGTGTTACTTCACAGACTGGAAGAAAAAAAATATGGGAAGGTAAGATAATGCTGGTTGATCTTACTGTTCTGTGTTTCCACAAATATGGCTGGGAGTTAATTATTTCATTTTATTTGCATTCTAGTTGTAAAAACCCATTCAGTACATCCATTTTGTTAATTTTACATGCATTTTAATTTGAGTCAGGGACTAAATCAGGCTTGATTTAATTTGCATAAGAAAAGAAAACTTTAGAGGTGACTTTTATTTTGAAATGGAGAAACTACTAAGAAACTACCTGTTGGTTTTTTTTATTTATTGGAGACAATAACACAATGCAAATGTACCTCTACAGTCAATTTCAGCTGAGATTTCGTCAGATGAAAAGCTGGCTACCAAGGAACCCTATGAAACTGGATAAGGAGGCGTTACCAGATCTGGAGGAAACAGATTGCTACACCGCCCCCTTCAGCAGGGCCAGAGCGCACCAGTATGTTCCTCTTTCATGACCTTGTTAAAATCAAATATCATGTATTTATCAAATAATCTCATATAGGCCTACTTTATGACAGAACAAATGCCATTGCATGACACCTTTTGCTTTCTGGAAATACGATACTGCAATTAGATAGCTGAACACTGAAGCTGAAACCACAATTCTGCAACCTTCATCAACCAATGGACGGAATTCAGCCTCAGCTGACCCTTTCATTGCAGATTTTATGATGGAAGCACTTTAGATCATGTACTTGATGTACTTGAACTTGATGACTATTTGTGAATGCACTGAAGTCACTGCTTGCTGACATCCACTTTACAGATCAGAGAACATTTTAAATGCATGACCTCATAAATCACTGTGCCCTGAGGTAAAATTGTTTTTTGTTAAGGAGGTGCTATTAGTAAGGGTTGAACAGAGGTTTTGTATGCACAGAAATGTTGGAATAAGCAGGGTTTATTCTTTCTTTTCAAAATAACTTTAAACAAATAATTGATCATAAAATATTTAAAAAGATCTTTCTGCAGAGTATCATTATAAAGAGTTTTAGACCGCAGCAAAAGGAAGAATCTCATCTTTTTGAATATATAAAACAGTATTATTTATATAATTTATTAACATAGCTTTTATTATTTATTATCATTTTCCTTTTAAGTTAAGTTCTAGTAGTTTTGAACTTTTGTCAGTTTTAGGATTTGGGTTATGGTTCTATTTAGGTTAGTGTTACTTATTTTTTTCCTGCCCATAAATTTAGGTTTAATAATTTAGATTCTGGATCTTTGTGCTAGTGTATGATTAAACATTTTGTAAGCTTTATATTCTAAAAGCTGAACGCATGCAGACACACTTTTGGCAGAGGTCTAACGTCCTTGAGTTATTGAGTATTGACAGGCATGCATAGAATGCTATCTTAGTATTGCCTTAATGTAGTATTTATAGCTTCCGGAAGCTGTTTTAGAATGTTGTGGAGGAATTCCAGTGAGGAAAGTCATTTCTATTCTCAGAACAAACAGAACTCTATAAAGGCAATTCACATTAGCACGTTTAAACTTTATTTATAATCCATCCACCTCAAGATGCTGATTAGACATGGCATGATTATTACACTGGTGTGCCTTAGAATGGGCACAATAAAAGGGCACTCTAAAACGTGCAGTTTAACTCTATTGGGAGGTGGAATGTTGGTCCACCCCTTTTCAATGGCTGTTCGAAGTTGCTGGATATTGACAGGACTTGGAACACGCTATCGGACCCCTGGACCCCGTCGGACTCCCCAATACAGTAAAACTACACATTTTAGAATTGCCTTTTATGAATAACGTCAGTCATCCGACCGGGTAGCCTGGGCTATATGAGCACCATACAACAAGATAACTTCAGATTTTTTCTTTAACTCTAATGCAGTTAGAAATGAACAACCAGTTTAACAGATCTAACAGAAATTAACAGCTGTCTGTCAAACAAAAATTATTACAAACCGAATAAAATCATTCACTGTCACACAGGCAAATGACAAATGGCTTAAAGGAGAACTCCGGCGAACAATGAACCTTTGGTCTAATAAAACATCGGTACATAGTCAACCGTTCTCTGAGATTTGTTTTCATGATAATCGAATGTAAAGAGTTTTATCTCTAAAAACTGTTTTGCGTATAATGCTAGTAATGGGGGCATTGAGTAAGTAAAAAGAAATCGCTAGTTTATACCACTAACAAGGCTCAAAATAGCCCCACACTAACGCAGTAACATAATGAGGGTCCATACATACAAAACGAAGCATTGAGAACTTTGTAAGTGTACAGACCGTTTAATAAGAAGGTACTTTATGAAGACAGTCCACTTTGTGTATACAGACAGTTCGTGGTTCGTGGTTCGACTTGTCGAGACTGTTTTCCAAGATGGCTCCTGTCTGTATACACGAAGTGAACTGTGAACTGAAGGTTCATTTTGCGCTGGAGTTCTCCTTTAAAGTCGTTGAAAATGAAACTGAAGTTGGTAAGTCAAACCATGAACATCGTGCTGTGTGATCTGAACTCTATGAAGTTCGACGAACTTCTGAACTTTATGAACGGCGTTCGGGGATCGACTTATCGAGACTATTTTTTAAGATGGCTCCTGTCTGTATACGTGAAGAGAACTGTCTTCATAAAGTATCTTCTTATTAAACGGTCTGTACACTTACACAGTTCTTCTCAATGCTTCGTTTTGCATGTATGGACCCTCATTATGTTACTGTGTGAGTGTGGGGCTATTTTGAGCCTTGTTAGTGGTATAAACTAGCGATTTCTTTTTACTTACTCAATGCCCCCATTACTAGCATTATACGCAAAACAGTTTTTAGAGATAAAACTCTTTACATTCGATTATCATGAAAACAAAACTCAGAGAACGATTGACTAAGTACCGATGTTTTATTAGACCAAAGGTTCATTGTTCGCCGGAGTTCTCCTTTAATAGCCAAACAAAATATTAATAAAGTGTAACAACGTTTGTGACTCAGCTAAATTCGCTTTAACATAGTTCTCTCATCTTACATTTACTCATCAAAGTCGTGATTAAAAACGTTGAAGAAGCAGATTTTCGAAACGTTTGTCCGACAGTCGATTGCTCCTGAGAGGAAGAACGAGACTCTTGAGGCTGAAAAGTCTCTCCACGGGTGCGCTGGAGGGCGGTGGGGTATTGAAGCGCAGAAACACTGTCTTGATCCTGGGGAACTTGTTCAACATTTCGATCTCGACACCTGAATTAAAATACTCAGCAATTTCAGTGTCCAACATCTCTTAGACCTGTCTGTCCTCCGTAAATGAAAACGGCGTCTCCTCCGCTGACGGGTGCAGGTGGCAGTTCCTCAAGCAGCGGATGCTCCAGCGCACGGCACTCGGCAGCCAGCAGCACCTTGGCGGCGTCTTTTGTAGTCTTATCTTTTATCCAGCGCAGTTTGAATTTAGGAATGGTCACTGCAGCCAGTCCAGCGTGGATGCAAAGCGTGTCTTTATGGCCTGCAAGATACAGGCAGGCATATCGAAATTAGTTGTGTAAATCTTAGCAACAGTGTTTTAGTAAAGCTTGTAAGATATGAGCAAATACAAAAAAAAAAAACAGACAAACAAACTATTTTACCTCAACTATAACATCAGGCAGGCCAGATGTCATCCGGGAGAGACTGTCTTTTAAATCCACCGTTTTTGCCATCAGGGCCTCCAGTGTCGGCAGGATAGTTCCATAAAAACAGTTTTCCTCCCCTTGAAGAATGTCTGGGGCTACGGCCAGCGGTTTGAAAATCACACAGTACTCTTTAATAAACTGGTACTCCCTGTCAGTAATGCACCTGATGCCCAGCTGGGTGCATAAGTTGTGCAGGTCAGTGATGGGGATGTCCATGACCCTGCACAAAACCTCATAAAAAGAGTTCCATCTCGTTGTCGTGGGAACAAGGAGGTTTCTCCTGCTGAATTTTTCCACAGTTTCTTATGCAAATGCTTATCTGCTCGCTTTGGTCCAGAGTGCCGAACATTTAGCAAGAACACTCTTGTGCTCTTGTGTCACTGTTGGAAGACAGCCATTTTTCTATGTCAGTGGTGGATATCAGATTTAGCTTATGAGACGCGCATCTGTGGTGAGCAGGGATACTGATCACAGCACATTGTTTATATTCTCGAAAGTGACACTTTCACTCCGATCTTCCTCTTCCTCTGAGTCCGAGGCCGTTTTGTGAAACACCTTGAATGCCTCAACAAAATTAGATCCATTGTCAGTGACAGTGGCTGTCACTTTCCCACCAAGGCCATATGACGTATGAATTTGCACGATCTCCCCTGCAACTACCATACGTGTGCCGTCCTCTCATCCGCCTATGCGTTTGCAGCTTTCCCCCGCTTCAGAGTGGATGGATGTATCCAGTGTGCCGTCATTCCCATGAAGCTCTTATTATTAGCTGTCCACAAATCTGCCGTGGTAGAAACAAATTGCAGTTCTTCAAACGTTTTTTTTTTTCAGATCTTTCTCCATGTCTGTGAAGGATTTGTCCTGATAGCTTGCAAATGTTTTGCGGTCAGGCACGGTTCCCTCTGTGTTACGTGTAGTTGGGATTTTACTGATTAATCTATGGAAAGATGGACACTCCACATTTGTAATTGGATAATACAGTCTCATCCCAAGGCGTCATACAACTGACGCTTTTGACCATAAGTCAGCATCCGCTGTTTTAGGGTACCCTTAAACGTAGGTTAGATGATGATCCTGGGGCATCATCCAACTGACGCTTTACCTTTAACGTCAGTTAGGTGACGGGGTAGGTTTAGGTCTGGGGTAGGGTTAGGATTAGATAACGGCTGCAGTCAGGATTTTCCTTTCCTTAAAATAATGGATTGCTTTTTTTAAAATTAAAAAAAAAAGTTACTGATTACTTGATGCGTTAAGTTACACATATCACGAAAAAGGTAATTAGAGTACTCTGACTCGTTACTTTATAACATGTTACCCACAACACTACCTAAGGCACACCTTTGCAATAATCATGCTGTCTAATCAGCATCTTGATATGCCACACCTGTGAGGTGGATAGATTATTTCAGCAAATGAGAAGAGGTCACTAACAACGATTTAGACAGATTTGTGAACAATATTTGAGAGAAATACTGTAGGCCTTTTGAGCATGGCTAGGAGGAAGCCAGTGTAATGCACATGATATCAGTCGTAGTCTATCCTACATGACAAATAAAAATCATGAACAAATTACATACACTGGACTTGAGTCAGGGGTGTTCTCTGGAGCTGCTGAAATGCCCTGTGGGGCATGAGCTTAACTCAGTGTGGCCCTCGGGGGCTGTTGAAATGCCCTCTTGGGCTGCAGAACCAGACACTGGACTTGACTCTGGGGAGCTCTAGGGGGCTGCTGAAATACCATCCAGGACTGCAGGAGACGACACTGTACTTGACTCAGGGGAGCTCTAGGGGCTGCTGAAATGCCCTCCAGGACTGCAGGAACAGACACTGTATTTGACTCAGGGGAGCTCTAGGGGGCTGCTGAAATACACTCCAGGGCTGCAGGAACAGACACTGGACTTGACTCTGGGGACCTCTAGGGGGCTGCTGAAATATAGTCAAGTCAAGTCACATTTATTTATATAGCGCTTTTCACAATACAGATTGTATCAAAGCAGCTTCACAGTGATAACATGAAAGTAGCACAACACAGACCGAAATACCATCCAGGACTGCAGGAACAGACACTGGACTTGACTCAGGGGAGCTTTAGGGGGCTGCTGAATGCCCTCAGGGGCTGTAGGAACAGACACTGGACTTGACTCTGGGGAGCTGTAGGGGGCTGCTGAAATACCATCCAGGACTGCAGGAGACGACACTGGACTTGACTCAGGGGAGCTCTAGGGGGCTGCTGAAATACCATCCAGGACTGCAGGAACAGACACTGGACTTGACTCAGGGGAGCTCTAGGGGACTGCTGAAAGGACTTGACTCAGGGAAGCTCTAGGGGGCTGCTGAAATACCATCCAGGACTGCAGGAACAGACACTGGACTTGACTCAGGGGAGCTCTAGGGGGCTGCTGAAATGCCCTCCAGGGCTGCAGGAAAAGACACTGTATTTGACTCAGGGGAGCTCTAAGGGGCTGCTGAAATACCTTCCAGGGCTGCAGGAACAGACACTGGACTTGACTCTGGGGACCTCTAGGGGGCTGCTGAAATTCCATCCAGGACTGCAGGAACAGACACTGGACTTGACTCAGGGGAGCTCTAGGGGATTGCTGAAAGGACTTGACTCAGGGGAGCTCTAGGGGGCTGCTGAAATACCATCCAGGACTGCAAGAACAGACACTGGACTTGACTCAGGGGAGCTCTAGGGGGCTGCTGAATGCCCTCAGGGGCTGTAGGAACAGACACTGGACTTGACTCTGGGGAGCTGTAGGGGGCTGCTGAAATACCATCCAGGACTGCAGGAGACGACACTGGACTTGACTCAGGGGAGCTCTAGGGGCTGCTGAAATGCCCTCCAGGACTGCAGGAACAGACACTGGACTTGACTCAGGGGAGCTCTAGGGGACTGCTGAAAGGACTTGACTCAGGGAAGCTCTAGGGGGCTGCTGAAATACCATCCAGGACTGCAGGAACAGACACTGGACTTGACTCAGGGGAGCTCTAGGGGGCTGCTGAAATGCCCTCCAGGACTGCAGGAACAGACACTGGACTTGACTCAGGGGAGCTCTAGGGGGCTGCTGAAATACCATCCAGGACTGCAGGAACAGACACTGGACTTGACTCAGGGGAGCTCTAGGGGACTGCTGAAAGGACTTGACTCAGGGAAGCTCTAGGGGGCTGCTGAAATACCATCCAGGACTGCGGGAACAGACACTGGACTTGACTCAGGGGAGCTCTAGGGGCTGCTGAAATGCCCTCCAGGGCTGCAGGAAAAGACACTGTATTTGACTCAGGGGAGCTCTAGGGGGCTGCTGAAATGTTCTACAGGGCTGCATGAACAGACACTGGGCTTGAGTCAGGGGCGCTCTCAGGAGCTGCTGAAATGCCCCCCGGGGCTGCAGGAGCAGGGTCAGGAACATAATCTGATGGCTCCGGGACTGGAACAGGATCAGTGAGCACAGCACGCACAACATCACTGACAGGACTGGACAGAAAATGACTAGCAGGAACAGTCTCGACAGACAGTACATGAATGTAAAGAATAGGCAAGAACACCAGACCTTGGAGCACCAGGACTGCTGGATATGGGACCATCAGAGACAGGCCCTCTGGTTTCAGGAGCTCTTAACTCTGGTTCTGCTAGATCAATGGATTTGAGCCCTCCTGACTCGGGCCATCCTGGACCAATGGGTTTGGGACCTCTTGATTTGGTGCTGCATGGGCAAATGGGCGTGGGGCCTTTTGACTAGGGATAAGTACTGAAACCTGGAATTAAACGGACCCCAGGGCTAAATTATGAAAGAACACTGTATCGATAAGCTCAGACGTTATCGGTTCTGCTGTCGGTACCGGAGAAATTAATTAAATAGACATACTATTTATTATTGATATAAATACACTATTTTGCAAATTCTATCTCATCAGCCATTTCTATATCATTATATTTCTTGTAGATCTGACTTTAATTTATAAATTAATGTATCTTAATTTGCTAAAATTATACTTAATGTTCTTAAAATAGGCTTTGTGTTCTTAAAGCAAAATTTGCTAGAACTTAGTTTTTCAGTCATGTTCCCCATGTACATAGTATGTACCTATCTTAGCAATTGCAATAACTAGGTAATAACTAGGTACCAAACCCCGAACTTACCACTAAATCTAATCATAACCCATGTAGTTACTTTATATTACTGAGTACTTTGGGAAAATACACCAAAAGTACACATAAGTGCATGTACTGAAAAAAAAAATAGCAACCCAAAATTTTTATTCTGATTCCTTTCTTTTTATTTTGAGGTGAATGACCTTAACATGTTGTTGATATGATTCATGAGGGAAAAGAAGCCATTCTTTAATATATAATTTTTTGTCTGTATACTGCGACAGCTGGGAGTAATCCACACAATCTGCTCTGAGCTTGATGTGTTGGGTCAGCTCAGCTACAATCCTCTCTAATTTGATATTTACACTGACACACTAAATATCTGCGTTCTGATCTCTAGGCTGCTGTAGCGTATTCATCTTTACTCTATTCAGTAAAGTACTGTAGATGAATGCATCCAACCTATTACATATTTGTGTATTAAAACAATGTACTTTACTTTCTTTTAGCTTTACCATCAACAACAGAGAGACATTTTTCTCAAACTCAACCAGAAGCAGAATAGTACATCATGTACTACAGCGAACAAAGTATGAGGATGGGAAGTCTAAGATGGGTAAGAGGTCAGCTTAATCACCCCTGAAACCATCTTGATCTAACATGTCATGCACATATTTTTCCTCGCACTTTCTATTATCCATCTATATCATATACATAATGATATATCATGTCCTCTCACACATCATCTTTTTATTCAGTATTTTTTATTTTAAAAGACTATAGTCATTTACAAAATTGGTTAAATTGTGAATATAATTTATGTTAAGGTTTTTTTTTTTTGTTTTGCTCAGACAAACAGTGTGCTCAGACAAACACCTCTCAAGAAAATGGGAGGAAATCACAAGGCCATCAAAATATAGATTATAGTTCTAGATAGATAGATAGATTATAGGATCCCCCCCCCCCCCCCCAAAAAAAAAAAAAAAAAAATCTTTCTGTCAGTCCTTCTGTTTTAATGTCACACTCATGCCCTTCTTATTTGGTTTTCTTGTCTGCCTGCTGTTGTCGTTTTCGACTGATTAAAGCTGGTCTTGCAAGTTGGATTTTCATGTTAATAGAATAATAATGACCGCCCACTCGCTCAGGCCAGATTATATTGGGAGAAGAACTCTAAATCCCCCATAAATCCTGCTTAATCATGCCACTGCAGCTCAGTTTAATGTCCTAGTGAACTCAAAACATCGTCAGCAAAAGAGACATTGTTTACAAATCTGGCGAGTTTTAACCAAATGAACCATAATAGTAAATAATAGTCTAAACTATTAACAAGACGCTGTATCATGATTAGGGTTGGGTATCGTTTGAATTTGAACGATTCTGATTCTGATTCCTTGTTTCGATTCCGGTTCCTAACGATTCTCAATTCCGATTCTTTTAAGAGGCAGGGTCAAAAAAGTTTAGCTAACCTTGCTAACCAACGGTCTTTCTGAAGGAAATAATCCTTTCTGAAGGAAATACTCCTTCTGTAAAAATACTCCTTTTGTCACAAATTTTGCATTTTGCCGAGATTTCGTTATTTTTAGAAAAGTGAAGCCACACTTTGGACCGCCAACGTAAGCTACTCATGTTCGACTCGCGCGGTTATGCTAACACTTCCGGTAGACGCTTCTTCGTTGGTGTTGTTCAGCGGTTTCTTCTTCCGCTCGGCGGACTGTGAATATCGAAACTAGGAATCGAAATTTTAACTTTTGAACGATTCCGGGAAAAACGAAAAGTTAGTCCCGGTTCCAATCGATACTCGATTCTCGATACCCAACCCTAATCATGATTGTTGACAGTATGGGAATGCCTTCAGTGTTGGCCAGTGTCTGAAGCACATAGACAATCACGCCAATTCTATTGGCTGACAGTGGTCAGGCGATGAATCGTAGAAGCATCATCACGACCATTAGAGTTCACTTACATCATGGAATTCCCAGATTCTGTTTACTCGAAGAAGCATTTTCAGCACAGCAACGCAGTGTCTCATTCCATCCACTGGGAGCATTACCTGAGACATTGCCATTTGAGTGAACTCAACGGTGCGCCATAGTTGCTGATGCTATGGGAACATTAATATCCTTGCCACCATACTGAAATATGCTTGCCTAACAAGATTGTTAAAAATATGTATAAGCATAGATCCTCTGGCAAGCAAAATAAAATTAACCCAACAGGTTTAATACATATCCATGCTGTAAAACTCTATGAATATCTGTGGAGAGACTCATCCTGCAAATATGCACCTTGGATAGCACCTTAGAAAAAAACATACTCTGAGTAGAGTGAGCTCTGATGCAATCCCCCCCCCCCCCCCCCCCAGCAATATTAATATCTAGCATTATGAGCTTTCTGAATACGATTTAGTATTAGTGCTTGTCTCTTTTCTGCCGTTTTGTTAATTACCTCATTAGTAAACCAATAGATCGTACTCAAAAGCAGTACAGCTTGAATCTCCTCCACACTTAAAACACACTCAAAACTCAACACAAACCAACAGACTGGGAGAAGCAGTTGCCCACAGTTCAACGTCACCATAATCTTCTCAGTACTTTAGACCGTGGTGTAAACGCAGTAAGCAACCAGTCTGGGGCAAAAAAGTTCCTATTAAAATAAGTTCCTGGGACAAATAGTGCCTGGTAATTGCGGTGGAAACGCGGCTTAGGATTACAATATTGTTCTCAATAATCCTGCTTGAGAGATCCGAATCTATGAGCTGATCACTCTCAGGGGCCAGCCCGCAGGTTTCAAATCTCTGGTCAGGGGTAAAAGATAGAATAGCCTCAAAATGCCCCAAATGATGCCCCAACAGCCATGGTGTCAAGACTTCTTTTCCCCCAGTTGGTTGGTGTCAGAACGCTTTCTCAGACCTGTCTTCACCCTAAACGGCTGAGATTGTGGATGGTGCCCAGGCCTCCAGTCCTTGTTTGTGTGTGGAGGGGATATGAACAGCCACACTGGCCTTAGCTAGGGCCAGGCCGAGACTGTCTGATTGAGGCCTCCGGCCTTTGGACATGGTGAGGGATAAATTGCTTAAATGCTGTAATTTGTTTCTTAGCCGCTTTAAACCTGTCAGTAATAGCATTTACCGCCTTGCTGAACAGGCCAGATTGTGATATTAGGGCATCTAGCAGAAAAGGTAGATGCCCTAATATTTCTAATTTTTACCTTTTCCTTTTCTTGAGACTAAGACCAGTCATGAATTCTACAACATTACAATTTTAGATAATCTTTTATGTTCTGGGCATTTTTTCATTCACCCATTTGTATGAATCCATTTTTCTTTTTAGTATTCCAGTCCTTCACCACATACTCATCAAGCCTTAAAACTCCATTCCTTATGATCAGCACTAATCACATTATAAACATCACAGAACTGGAACAGTCCCTGTCAGTCAGTGTCCCCCATGGTCCTATGTGTGAGCGTGTATTTGCATGTCTCTGCTGGTCACACGGTCTCCGTCTCTCTGCAGCTCCTCCGTTGTGTTGTCTGTATCTGCTTAATTATTATGGCCATCACGAGCGGCTCTTCATGGGCCAGTCAGGGAGTTCATGGGAAGGTGCGTACAGTGCTGTACAGTCTCTGTTGTATGGGCACACAGGGATCCCCAAATATCATCACATCTCTAAAAGTAGCATCAGTAAGATTGGGAGAAAATGTGACGAGTGCTTTTTAATGACGTTTTGGGTAGAATCTCACAAATTTGAAATGTCCAGGTCAGATTTCACCCCTATGCAAAAACCAAAATACCTCTCCAATAGGGCTGGGTATCGATTCACATTTCAATTTCGATTCACAAGCTCTCAGTTCGATTCGATTTCGATTCTCGATTAAATTTTCGATTTCGATTCCTGATTTGATTCTCGATTCGACTATAATGAAGATGTAATACAAATCCTATATTTATAAAAAAGAACAGTGGACATAAGTTTACTAGTGGTTAATTAATACATGGAAATTAAGAGCCATAAACCTGTATATAAAACTCTTTTTATTTTAGGTACACTAAATGCATACAGAGAATAAACAGGATTTTGATGCAATATGCAAAAAAAGTCAGAACAGTCACACAGCTTGATCAAACAGTATCATGTTATTTTATGTAATTTTTTGTTTATTTTTGTTTTAAGAGTTTATGTATGGAAGCTTGATTTCAATCTTTGAATTAAATTGAAAAAAGTAGCACAAATAAATACAATAGAATAAAGACACAAATTAAGAGACATTTTGGGGTAGTTTTTTGGGTATGTCAACAGAAACTGAATAAAGTAATCCAATGTAAAATAACACTGGATAGTCTTTTTAGTCCAGACTGAATTAAATACAAAGGCTATTAATTCTGATTGCTTACAATTAATACTATATTCTGTTGTTATGACAACAGAATTAATGACTGACACAAATGGCTGCGTTCACTTTAAGAACTAGTGCGCGAATCCATTACTGTTTCATTAACTTTCTGTCACACACGTTTAATGCTAATTTAAGACATTACCGACTGTCTTTAGGAGGTTTCTCACCAAGACCAGAGTTTTGACATAATGTCGCGTGTTTTAACTGTTAAAGTGATATAATCCAGGGAAAAAACTTTTGTTTCTGGCGAGCTGTTTGTGAGGCAGATTTAGGCTGTAACGTGCACGCAGTGAAAGACGTCTCTGAGAGTGCGCGAGCACGGGATGGTTTAACATTGCTTGTAAAACTCAAAAAGACGTGAAAATGATAAACGTTAGTTACGATCATAGGTTACGATCCAATGCTGGCCCGATTGTTAAGTGAATATTCCGTCGTGTCCCGACTCCTAAAGGCGTGTGTGTATCGACAGCTGCAGCGCTTGGCGCTTGATTAGTGCAGAGAGACGAGAAGATGCAGCACCGCGTCCGCGAGCCCTTTATATGGAAAAAATCGATTCCGGCCGTTGAGAATCGATTTTGAATCGAACACATTTTAAAAAACGATTAATCGAAAAATCTATTTTTTTGCCCAGCCCTACTCTCCAAGCAAACACCTTAGCATCCACATAGAATAAATTGTAACAAATTTTAATGTACAAGTTTACTATGTGTAGGAGGATGATGATGCATGTGTTTTATATATATATATTGAATAACCCACAAACAGACAAAGTAGAATCCCAGTAAAAGAGATTCATCTGATGCCAGGGTTTTGTCAATACCATCTGGTTTATTATTGGTTTTGTGACCGAGACACTTTTTAATAATTGACTTAATAATTTAAGTATTAAATTAATAATCCTAATAATGTAATAATAACACTAGTAACAACATGCCACTCAGGTCCTTGTTTGCCCATTCTGGGTGGCTTATCTTACTAATTAAATCTTCACTTAAAAACAACTTTTCTCTGACATCGTTCCCTATTTTCCAGAGACACTAAATTTGATGACTTTACCTCAAAACATCTCTCAAATGTTGATATTAAGAGGTTGTGTCTCGGGTTATGTCCTTAACCCTCGTTCTCTGAGAATCGACACATTGGGGAAGGCCTTCAGCGTGACTCGTCTGAAGCCTGTACGAAACTAGTCCAATCTTAATTGGTGTTGCATAATTACGTCATTTGTGACGTCGCACGTGACGGTGATGCGGAATCTATAAAAGAACAGCTTGAGCTTCTGATAGGTCGAAGCAAGTCGTTCTCAGGAGTGCAGGAAGTGTGGCCGAGGGACGCAGCATTTCAGGGAATGAGGGTTACAGTCGTAACCCGAGACAAACCCCTTTCGAGAGAACTTGCGCTGCGTAGAAAATTGACACATTGGGGAACAAAGTGTTCACTGCGCCACACTGACTTATATAAGCCCTGGTGTGAAGGAATTTAGCACACTCAAGACGAGAGAACTTGTGAACCCGGTGTAGAGGGCAGATCCGGACTATAATGTTTTATGAAGGTGTGTCAGGAGGCCCAGCTGGCGGCATCACAGACCTCTTGGAGGGAGACCCCTGCGAGCAGGGCTTTGGAGGATCCCACTCCTCTAGTTGAGTGGGCTCTTATAAGGAGAGGCAAAGGCAAACTGCGCTATATATACTATATCTGCTAATCGTTTGTTTAGAGGCAGGGGGAACCCTTCTTAGGTGACCCAAACACACAAACAACTGGTGCGACATACTCCAGCCTGAGGACCTGTGTACATAGGCCTGCAGAGCTCGGACCAGGCATAATAGATGTAGCTTATCTTGAACAGCCGACACACGGTGAAGGATGAAATGCCTGCAAGATTACAGACTGACTATGCCACATTTGAAGGCACCTTAGGAACATAGCCAAATCTAGGATGAAGAATGGCTTTCACTCTGCCAGGAGCAAACTCTGGGCAAGAGGGTGCAGGTCCCCCACTCTCTTTATGGATGTAATAGCTAGCAGAAAGGCCACCTACAGGGTTTTTCAGACACCTCATTCAAGGTTTCAAAGGGTGCCAGGGATAGCCCTTCAAGAACCACTGCTAGATCTCACATGGGGACCCTGGTCTGGACGACAGGCCTCCTAGCTCATTGATAACTGTACTATAAGTGGGTGCCTCCCCATAGTGCCCACCCTTAGAGGCGTGTGGAAGGCAGCTATGGCCGCCACATACGTAGACCTTCAGCGTGGACGGGGATAGCCCATCAGAGAAGCTACTCCAGCACTGAAGCCACTGGGCAGTTAACTGTGTCCAACTAATTTTGGGATATTTAAATTAATTAACCAATCAATAATACCCTTGATCAGCTCTGAATCGAACACTGTTATTATGTTTTGATCAGCGCAGTCTCATCCCAAGACATCATATAACTGACGTCTTGGGACGTCTTTTGACCATGCGTCAATATCTGCCTTTTTAGGGTACCCTTAAACGTCAGTTGATGACGTTATCAGATCCTAACTCTACCCCAGACCTAAACCTACCCCTAAACCTAATGACGTTAAAGGTAAAGCGACAGTTGTATGACGTCCCAGGATCGTCATCAACCGACGTTTAAGGTGACCCTAAAAAGGAGGATATTGACGTATCATGAGTGATGTAATGATGCAACACCAATCGAGATATGACTAGATCCATACAGGCTTCAGACTCGTTGTGCTGAATCCAATGCAATCCAATTGGCTGAATCCAATGTGTCGATTCTCAACACAGCACGAGTTCCCTCGAAAAGGGAACTGGCATTCACTGGTCGCTGTGGCTGGTGGTTGAAAAAGTTAATTTCCCAACCTCACCATAGCATTAGTATGTGTGTTACATTTTAGAAGTCAAAACATCTCATTTGTGGTGAATGTGGTAGTACTGAATATTTTACATGAAATTATACATTGTGTGTTTGAATGTTAGACTTTTTAGATCGCTATTTTATTTCTGCAAATCCTTGAATTGCATTCTTGCAATATAGAATAATCAGACAGTCAGACAACAGCACTTTCAATTAAGGCACTAAGACGCAAAATAGAAGCCAAGATTGAAGAAACATAAATTCATGCTAGTTTTTTCTGTTTCCATCTATTTTTTTAGGCATTAATCGGTTACTTGGCAACAGCACATATGAGGCAGCGTTTCCTCCACATGAGGTAAAATGAGTCTTTACACAATGTCACAATGTAGTTTTTACCTCTTATTCTTACTGTTGAAGTTTTCTTATGTGATATTGAAAACTATGCTATTTACTTTTTAGGGAAGTTACAAAAGCAGACATCCGATTAAAACCCATGGGGCTCAAAACCACAGACACCTTTTGTACGAAAGATGGGCACGCTGGGGAATCTGGTACAAATACCAGCCTTTAGACCTCATACGGTAAGAACAGAACTTTTAAACACATTTATTATGCTGTCTAAACAAATGTATCACTTTTTATATTTAAGGAATTTGGGAAACAAAATGATTTTTTTTGGCATAGCCAATTATTATTTTTTCTTTATAGTCTGAAAAACATTTTATTGAATACATGAATTAATAAATTAATAAAATATATATAATTAATAAATTATATATAATTAATAAATTATATATAAATATTAAATTATATATATATATATAAATATATATATATATATATATATATATATATATATATATATGTATATATATGTATGATTTGTTTTATTACAAAATGTATTTTAATCAGTTGAATTGAAGTGCACTGTGAATATAGCCAGAGCATTATTAAGATTAGAATATGGCAAAGTTTTTTGAGTCTTCAAAAAAAAAAAAAAAATCTGAAAGGTTCTTGTTGAATCAGAATGGCAGTGAAATCCATCTTGATCGGAAATATCCGCTGTGTGAAAACAGCTTTAATCTCACTAACTCATATGTGCAGGACATTTTGTTGGTGTGGCTGACCACAGCATTCTTGTGTAAATCACAGCTTTCGTCAAACGTGAGAGAAAATGCAATCTCAGGTTCATAACAATCGTAAATTGACGCTGGATTCGAGCCCCCTCCTTTTAAAGTTGAGACCAAAAGTGGAGATGGGTAGGTTTAGGGGTGGGGTTATGGATTAGGGGCCAGAGATGGGTAGGTTTAGGGGTGGTGTTTCAGATCAGGGGCCGGAGATGGGTAGGTTTAGGGGTGGTGTTTCAGATCAGGGGCCGGAGATGGGTAGGTTTAGGGGTGGGGTTACGGATCAGGGGGTGGAGATGGGTAGGTTTAGGGGTGGGGTTATGGATTAGGGGGCGGAGATGGGTAGGTTTAGGGGTGGGGTTATGGATTAGGGGCCGGAGATGGGTAGGTTTAGGGGTGGGGTTACGGATCAGGGGGCGGAGATGGGTAGGTTTAGGGGTGGGGTTACGGATCAGGGGCCGGAGATGGGTAGGTTTAGGGGTGGTGTTTCGGATCAGGGGCCGGAGATGGGTAGGTTTAGGGGTGGGGTTACGGATCAGGGGGCGGAAATGGGTAGGTTTAGGGGTGGGGTTATGGATTAGGGGCCGGAGATGGGTAGGTTTAGGGGTGGTGTTTCAGATCAGGGGCCGGAGATGGGTAGGTTTAGGGGTGGTGTTTCGGATCAGGGGCCGGAGATGGGTAGGTTTAGGGGTGGGGTTACGGATCAGGGGGCGGAAATGGGTAGGTTTAGGGGCGGGGTTATGGATTAGGGGCCGGAGATGGGTAGGTTTAGGGGTGGTGTTTCGGATCAGGGGCCGGAGATGGGTAGGTTTAGGGGTGGTGTTTCGGATCAGGGGCCGGAGATGGGTAGGTTTAGGGGTGGGGTTATGGATCAGGGGGCGGAGATGGGTAGGTTTAGGGGTGGGGTTATGGATTAGGGGGCGGAGATGGGTAGGTTTAGGGGTGGGGTTACGGATCAGGGGGCGGAGATGGGTAGGTTTAGGGGTGGGGTTACGGATCAGGGGCCGGAGATGGGTAGGTTTAGGGTTGGTGTTTCGGATCAGGGGCCGGAGATGGGTAGGTTTAGGGGTGGGGTTACGGATCAGGGGGCGGAAATGGGTAGGTTTAGGGGTGGGGTTATGAATTAGGGGCCGGAGATGGGTAGGTTTAGGGGTGGGGTTACGGATCAGGGGGCGGAAATGGGTAGGTTTAGGGGTGGTGTTTCGGATCAGAGAGCAGAGATGGGTAGGTTTAGGGGTGGTGTTTCGGATCAGGGGCCGGAGATGGGTAGGTTTAAGGGTGGTGTTTCAGATCAGGGGCCGGAGATGGGTAGGCTTAGGGTGGTGTTTCGGATCAGGGAGCGGAGATGGGTAGGTTTAGGGGTGGTGTTTCGGATCAGGGGCCGGAGATGGGTAGGTTTAGAGGTGGGGTTACGGATCAGGGGGCGGAGATGGGTAGGTTTAGGGGTGGTGTTTCGGATCAGGGAGCGGAGATGGGTAGGTTTAGGGGTGGGGTTATGGATTAGGGGCCAGAGATGGGTAGGTTTAGGGGTGGTGTTTCGGATCAGGGGCCGGAGATGGGTAGGTTTAGGGGTGGGGTTACGGATCAGAGAGCAGAGATGGGTAGGTTTAGGGGTGGTGTTTCGGATCAGGGGCCGGAGATGGGTAGGCTTAGAGTGGTGTTTCGGATCAGGGAGCGGAGATGGGTAGGTTTAGGGGTGGTGTTTCGGATCAGGGGCCGGAGATGGGTAGGTTTAGGGGTGGTGTTTCGGATCAGGGGCCGGAGATGGGTAGGTTTAGGGGTGGGGTTACGGATCAAGGGGCGGAGATGGGTAGGTTTAGGGGTGGGGTTATGGATTAGGGGCCGGAGATGGGTAGGTTTAGGGGTGGTGTTTCGGATCAGGGGTCGGAAATGGGTAGGTTTAGGGGTGGGGTTACGGATCAGGGGTCGGAGATGGGTAGGTTTAGGGGTGGTGTTAGGGATCAGGGGTGGAGATGGGTAGGATTAGGTACGGATCAGGGGCAGAGATGGGTAAGATTAGGGGTGGTGTTACGGATCAGGGGCGGAGATGGATAGGATTAGGGGTGGTATTAGGGATCAGGGGGCAGAGATGGGTAGGATTAGGTATATGTAAGGTGGGAGGAGTCCAACTCCTCCCTCTGGATTTCGTCTTCTGCAGTGAGTACCATCTCTCCATTTGTGGAATTATGTAACTGCCCTGACCTGGTATATTTTAAGTCAATTACATGTCCCTGTTTTCAGTCACCTCTATGTATCTAACCTGTGTATTTTAAGTTTTAATCTATTAAACTATAAAAAAACAATAAAAAATGCAATTCATATCAATTCACTGTCTTTGTTCTGTTTTGTTTTGGACTTTTAGTTTGTGTTCATCATTGTGTTGTTCATCGTTGTGTTTGTGTTCATCATTTTGTTCAATGTTTCTGACTGATATTTCTTCATTTGTTGGCCTGTCTGTCTCACAGGCGGTACTTCGGAGAGAAGATCGGGCTGTATTTTGCCTGGTTGGGCTGGTATACAGGTATGCTGATCCCTGCTGCTCTAGTTGGCCTCTTTGTCTTCCTCTATGGGCTTTTCACTATGGACTCCAGCCAAGTAAGGTGAGTCCTTGCTGGGGTTTTCAGCTGTTTAAACATTTCCCCCAGTATTCCTGAACCTGATCCCATCAGTCTATATGTCAAAACATTAATATTACATCACATTTTTAGTTTCCCTATAAATTCTTCTCAATACATCACAGATTCATGAGTGTTTGTTTCCCTGTTTCGTTTCAGTAAAGAGATCTGTGAGGCCAACACCACCATCATGTGCCCCATGTGTGAAGGCAACTGTAGCTCGTGGACGCTTAGTGACAGCTGTGTCTATGCAAAGGTACCGCACACCCGCCTTCTTCTGGCTTAAACCACAGTTTGTATACTGTATGGTTAAAACAAATGCCATTTTGATAGAAAATTCTAATCACAAATCAAAGCACCATTAAAAAAGAGATATTTGATAGTTAATGCAGAAGGTAAGGCTAAATAATGATGCATGCTTGTGAAAAAGTCAGGCTCATTGCACTGGTAATATAAAGGAATATTCTGTATCAATATATTCGCCTGTGTTTTACCCATATTTTGTGTTTTAGTGTTAAAGGAATCTCCATAAACACACACTTTATATTGTGTCTTTAACCACTTTGTATTTACAGAGACTCTGATCTTTCTTTTGATAAATTACATGTTCAGATATTCATACAACAAAATATTCTGGGGGCCATAATATTTGTTTTTTTTCTTGTGAAACTTATAAAAAATGCTGGCAGTGGCTGTCAACCCCCCTTTTTTAATATAAAATCCTGGCAGGGAAAGAGTTTATATAAACAGTGACCTGGTAAACAGGAGATAATGTCCTGGCAGAAAATTATATAGACATTTCAGTTTTGGGTAAAATAAAAGCCAGTCACTCAAATGGACATTGTCCCACCTTGATATTGATCCTGATAAATTCACTTTGTTGAACCATTACCAGGAAAATGTTGCCACAGTTTTCTCTTAATACAATTAAAGAAAAAAGAAAAAAGGCAATATAATACATTTTACAATGGTGGATAATAAATTCAAGTCAAATAGAAGTTAACGGAAATGCATATGTATCTTGAATTTTCATCATGACTTCTATGTCTTTGATTCAATTTGCTTGAGCCAATTTGCATCTTGGCATCTGTCCTTGTAATAGTCAAATCACATTTATTTATATAGTGCTTTTTACAATACAGATTGTTTCAAAGCAGCCTTACAGAGATAACAGGAAATTAATGCAACAAAGGTTTTTTTCCAGAAAAAAATAGCATCACAGTCCAGTTTAAGTAAGTTCCGTGATGTTTAATTTTTGTTGTAAAAAAGTTATTAATTTAGTTCATTTATATTATAAATAGCCGCTCTGGAGACAACCGTGATGTCATCATCCAGGGGTGTGTTTCCTGCACAACTATTTAGTTCGCTGCTTCACTACCATTGTACGAAGCATCGTTGGAGAAATCAACTAGCTAGTCACGACTGTTTCCCGAAATTGTCGCAAAGTATCGTTCAACCACATTGGTTTATGACGTCTCGCACGTGGTGGAGTAATAACTACTCTTAATGAAACCGTTTGAGATCCAATTAACGCTAGATTTTTTAGATCTAAATTACAGACATGTCATCTGAGGACTATTTCTAATTGTTCTCAGTTATTTTGCTTTATTACCAGACTCAATATTTGGCGCGTTCTCACATAGTAGAGCATCTTTTGACAAACTAAAAGACGTAAATGACATTTGTATGTATTCTAAATAAAAGCCACCAGTTGTACTGAATGTCAGCTTGCTTATTTTGCTCAAGATAAGGATTTATTACGTCCAAATGTGATGCAATATCGAAACGATGTCTCTAACCACAGGTCGAGAGCTGCCGTTCAAACCACACAACTTTGCGATGCTGTTTGCGAATGTTCGTTTGAACGATTGTTTCGGGAAACACCGACTCGTTGAACTATGCAGATAACGACGGGACTTGCGACCATAGTTGGCTAACGATGCTTTCGGAAAACGCACCCCAGCTCGGTTCAGTTCCAATTCAAGGGAACTCGAGCTGCGTCGAGACACTGTGGGAACGCCCCCTGCACGATAGCGTCGTGAAGCACGTTTATAATCAGTCCAATGTAGAGACGAGACGCCATAGGCATACGTTTCACACCTGAAAACAGACCGCGCTAACTTATGTACCTTCAGCATGCACTCTGTGTGAATCTGTCTCTATTTATTGTTGTTTGCCCACAAGCATACATTTTGTATTTAGACATTAGTATGGAAAGAAGCAAACAGCATTACGAGTGGGGACAAACGTGGTTCATGTGTTGTCTGTTTGAGAGTGGAGCATGTATGGTCAGCTCTAGTAAAAGGGGGCCTGACAGTGTTCATTCATGAATTCCCGATGTTTAACATTTGCAGTATCGAGAGTTTTAGCTCTACTTCTGTTGGCTTCTTCTCGAGGGAGGAGTGTCAAATGTTCTTGTCCTTGTCCGACTGTTTTATACTCTTGTGTTTTATACTCTTTTATACTCTTGTTCCCTGTTTTTATTTTGTAAAGCGACCTTGAGTGCTTAGAAAGGCGCTGTTAAATAAAATGTATTATTATTATTATTATTAATAAGCATCTTTGGATAAAAATTCTGTGACTCGATCTCGGATCTCGCGTGTGCCGAGGCAGGCCATAGATTACAGGCTTGCAATAAGAATCTAGTCTGCGTAGCCACACGAACTGGAGTTATCCCGACTCTATTTTTCTTGCCTGCTTTTTTTTTTTTTTTTTTTTTTTTTGCGTAACCGAACAGCTTTGGAGTCATTGGAATGGTTATGACTTTTTTTTTTTTTTTTCGGAAAAAACACCCTTGCAACTTTGGGCCGACAGGCCACCAGCCTCAGCGTTAGGAAGTATTGCATAATATCAGGTCTCACGATGTAACAAATTGTTTTACGGCACTGCACACATACACACCCCCCTCCAGGATCCGGCTAGCTATAAGAATTGCCAAGACTGCATTGTGCGGCTTGAAGGGCCCGATATAATACATTCATGGTGAAGAAAACCAAGACAAACAACATGAAAGTCAAGAAAACACATCTTAGCTGTGTGGTGATACTGTATATTTCCTGTAAACATCTTTATGCAAATACATTTTACCGTAACAACTTTGTTTTAAGAATGTCTGTTTCCCAACTTTTTGTTCGAGCCTCATTAGGAAAGCCTGTTTTGTCTGACGTCAAAAATATTCATATGTTTTGAATTAGTGTTTGGTTCTGAATGTTCCAAACATGCAAATCAAACACAGATTATTCAAGCTCTGTAGCCAGTACTAAAAACCAAAAGTTTATTTTGTGACAAGGGAACAAGGTAGTGATTTGGCCTGGAAGAGGCTAATATTTGAATAAAATACACATTAAAATTGGTTCCTGCCCTGAAGAATGTTATTCTTCAGGGCAGGAACCAATTTTAATCATTCATAGCTCAGGATACAATGTTGTTGACACGGGTCTTTCTTGGCCACCTGCTAATGTTACGGGGCTGGATTTGGGCCAGCGGTATCAACCGAATGGAAATGAGCTAGTGGCCTTTACACCACTCAGCATTTTTTATTTTTTATTTTTTTTTACCATTTGTCCTTCCCACACCAGTGAAACAATTTGTCACATGTTGGCAAAATCTAAAATTCTGAAGATGATTTTCTCAACCCATTGATTTCTCAGCATAGAGAGGATTTAATACCTTCCTGCGACTCTGAAGACGTCTGCTTTAAAAAAACGGTTCTGTTACGGTTCTTCAAACGGGCTTCAAAATTCACTCAACGGGTGTTGTTATAAAAATCCCCATTCAGGTTCTGTTATCATATCCAAAAGGATTAAATGTCAGTGTGCTCTTTCCACACAGGTCAAATAAACAATTATATGAGCTGTACACAAAACCCCCTGCCAAGCCCACAGAGGCTTCTCACGACTTACAGCTCAAATCTCTTCTGCCAAAATCTCCACCTCCTCAACAAACAAAGCTCCCATTGGGGAGTCAGACCAACAACCCAGTCTTACTTTGTACTCAAGAATCATATCAATAGAGAGTTATTTGGCACATGCCAGTCAAGTTCACAGCATCCTACTGCTGGAGTTTTTACTACAGCTCTTTCTTGTCTTACTTCACACACTTTAACAAAGTTCATGATTGGAAGGAATGTACAGTATTAGCCTAATACTGCCAATAATGTTAAAAGGGTACAGAACAGAGGTGTCCAAACCTGCTCTTGGATGACCAGTGTCAACACACCTGCCTGGAAATAGTAGTTAGCTGTTTGAACTCTGCTGAACAGTGGCCTTCCAGGAGCAGAATTGGACACAACTACACTAGGGGTGTATCGATACATGTATTCATATTGAACCATTCGGTACGAGGTTTTCGGTGCGCATTTTTGAACCGAACGGTTCGTTGGACCATTTTTCCTGCCGACCAAAATTTTGTTATTTCAAATGTAGGCGTGGCAAGCGCGCTCATAATGTAAGAGACGCTGGCGTGACCACAACATTGCCCAACATCAAATGTCTAATGTAAGCGGAACGAAGCTGAGCTACTCGTTATTGTGTGGTTGACGGACCGTTTATCAGTTTGGACCAATGCAGCGCGAGCCGATCTTGGACTGTTACTACACAGCCAAATCCAGTTAAGAAAACATTTGAATTCGCCACTGAATTATAACATCGCTTCGAGATCTAGTGAGAAACATTCACATTTCTCTGTTATTAACGAATCGAACAGTACTGACGTGGAAACCAGGAAGAAACATCGTACCATGAATGAACTATCCAGTGTCCACAGATCAGCAACATTCACCATGGGTTTACTGTAGTAACACTACTAACTGTGAACCATGGGAGTAATAGCAGAACAGTCATAGAATAGAAAATAGTCGGCTGTAATTCTTTCAAGTAACATTATGTCGGTTTTATTTTGACATTATGAATGCAATTGCTGCCCTCAAATATTAATCTGAACTAAAAAAAAGCTTTTTTTTATAACTACTACAATATTACATTTCATTTTGTTTTATATGCGCCTAAGACGAGTCAAGTATAGCTCCATCACTGCTCAAAGTTAAAGGGGGGGTTGACTGTTTTTTTTTTCTTTGCATGATTGTGTTTATGTGGTGCACTATAACATGTATCCGTGGTTTTTCTTTTTTAAAAAGTCTTATTTTTCATAAACTTCACCTTTTTATTGTAAGCCGCGCTCTCCTCTGTCCCCTGAACGAACGGTTGACTTCCTGATTCTATGAAACCACTCCCTCAGAAACAGGCAGTGGGCTCAGAT